TTCTCAAGATAGAAGAGAACGCCTCGAAAATGTCAATAAAACCGAGGCTTAACTTTGTATTAAATCAATATCTATAAATTACCATTTTAAATCTGTTTCTTTTCCCGAAAAGGTTATGTAATATTCAATTTTCAACATTTTCACTATCCAAATTAAAAATTTTACCTTATAAGCCGTAGATGATGCCTTCCCTAACATCATTCCCCCGAGGAATAATGTCGTTATTCACAGGTGACCTATCTTACATTAAAAGTTTGTTGTTACTCCACTTCCTATAACAAATTTATTCAAGTGTTTTTCTCATCAAACTCGTTCACAAAAGCATTGAGATAAAATTACAATTGCAAGATATTAACCACTGTATCAAATCCACATGGTGTGCTAGTTCTTTGTTATGGAAATACCAAGGTAGATTATAAAATATATATCTAAAACATATCCACGGTAAATGGGTAAATCGAGTGAGCTGAGGTATAACTAATATGTCTGACTGTCTCTGAAAATCTCAAAGGTTCCCACACTTAATTCATATTCTGTCCTGGTGTCTCTTTCACTAAAGATTTCAAATGAAAAATTAAACAAATTGAAAATCCCAAGTCCTTAATCTCAAAACAATCTTCCCTATTTCAACATTACAATTTAAAAACAATTGAATTTCATAACCAAGAGTTATCTTTCTTACTTCATATGTAAAATATAATAAATTCCAATGTATCTTGATATATTGTTTACCTATTTAATCTACGCTTATTAAAAAAAGAAAGTTTGTCAATAATTCAATACAAACCTGTCAAACTTGAGAGAAAAATATGGTGATAATAAAAAATACCAAATATTCCTACAACAGCTGATATTGATCCTATGTAACTCAGGAATGTATTGAATATGTAGACTAGATATAACTGGTAATGATCAATTTAGAACTACAACTTCCTTCCTCCTTAATTAGGCTGTACAGTCTCTGTGTCCTAATAAATTACACTTTAAAAATTTCATTGGTGAAGAAGTTATATGTAGTATTAATTTATTACACAAGCACTTGAGTCTTGACACAAATCAAGAGCAAAGGAATAGAACAGACCTTTTATATCTGTTCTTTATATTAAGTCATAATGAGGTTTATAATATTCTTTGTTGTTTGCATAACATTCAGTGGCAAATATTTCAAACATATTCGGGATGGTTGATAGAATAAAATAGCTTTTTGGTTATGTTACATGATTTCAATACCAGAAAGATTTTCAAGGGACTTGACCTGGGCAAAATGTTATTTACCTGCATACTATGTTATAAACATAGTTCCAGAAAACATCAAGTTGGCAATTTGGGAATTGTACGACAAAGGAGAAAACCACACTAGTTGACATTAGCAGAAACAAACAGTAAAATTCACTGACATGGCTCGTGATCGAAAAAATCAAACGTTTAAATCCACAGTAAATATCTACTCATAAACACCAGTTAAGTTGAATACACATCTATTGTACACCCATATTGTTATAAACTCTCGTGTAGAATTTTATGGACTATAACCATATACCTGTAAATTGTACTATAATTGTCAGATATTTAAATATAAAAGATGACAAAAGAACAGGACTACACTTTAATGGCTACATAATGACCAACCAGAGGGTGAATTTGATTGTAATAACAGGACATGATACATGTTAAGATGGTATGATAATGTCATCAGCTTCCTCAGGTTTCAACACAGAAGTTTGCAATGGTAACATCTTTCTGTGTGTAAAGAAATGTTATTCAAGTGACTAAGAAAAGAGTGCATTTGTTCTAACCCGAAATTTTGTCATTGATGACTATCGTTTAGTAAATGTTAAGCTGCTAGAAACAAATACATCGTTTAATGAACTTTATCGACCATGCGTAGTAAGACAGAAAAAGATTACATACACGCACTGTAAACAAACAGGTAAAAGTGCGGGAAATGAATGACCAGAACTTTGCGAAAACAACACATGCTCGTAATTATTTAAACGACAGATGCAAAAACAAATGTATCATTTACACGACTCAACGATAAACGATCAACAACTACGCTACTATTTTGCGCGTACATCGTTTATGTGAACGATGTCAACATTGACCAAAAATGACAGAAACGAATGGATTAAACGAGTACGCGCGTAATTGTTTACATCGTTTAGGTTAGAAACAAATGCGCTCTAAGCTCATGAAACAAATAAAAACAAGAGTTACAACTGAAATCTAACATGTGTCATCTGATTTCTTTGAAAGTAGTCAATTTTATCACAAATATATAATTTTATCAAGTGGAGAGCTATCAAACAATGTAAAGTGGTGAAAAGAAAATTTCTCAGGAGGAAATTGGATAAATATATGGGTAAAGTCCACATCTTCTTATATCTATAAAGTAACATGAAGCCAGCCATTTCATCAAAGAAATAATGATTTTTATGCCTAACAACTATTTAAATACCTCTTGATTTAATTCAAGTGGAACTGAACACTAACAAGAAAATAGGTTAACACATGTAGGGTTTCAATTTGACCTTATATGATTTTACAACCTGTATTTAAGTGGCTATTCACTGTCTCATCCTTTTGATCTTTGGTGGATATTTGTCTTATTATATATAATTTGTTTACATGGTATATATAATTGTATAAGGCTATTCAGACATACATGACCTATACTTTTTAATGAACTAGCAAATAGAACTCTTTACAATCTACATTACAGGTCATATAGAGTTTGCTTTTTTCATCTTTCACAGTAGGTAGTAAACACATCTCCACTCATATTATTTTCTTCAAATATTGAAGGTAAATGCTTATCTGCATGCTTATAGGCCTGATAGCTTTGATGTGTTTTGGCATACATTTATATATACAATATTAGGTCAATGTCAGAAAAATATAAACTTTTTTGTATGAGGATGAGAAACTGGGGAAAGGCGAGGTTTTACCGAGCCCTTCCCCAGTTTTGTGCCGAATACAAAAAAGTTAAAATTTTTCTGACATTGACTAATATTGTTTTTATACTGCAACTTAAATTAATACAGTGATAGCTATGTAAATTTTAATACAAATTTCAAACTTATCTTCATCCTTAAATGAACCCCTGATTGTGGAAAAAGTGATCCATGATGAAATTGAAATTGCACAAAATATAACTTTGTTACTACATATAGGAAATAAACACAACTAGTTGCAGTATAAAATAGATTGTTTTCCAAAATAAAACAAAAGAAACAATGTGTTTCTCCCAAAAGGCAGGCAAGGTGAACAAGTTTAGTACATATTTTCTCTACCCTATAACCACTTGCAATGTTGACGAGTGGAAAAAGCAAAATCTACATTGGCTGTGGTGTACTTATAAATGCTGTATACGAAGGCATAATGTTTGTAGCCAGGGGAAGTTACTTTGAATTACTGAATAATATATAATAAATATAGGTATATACAGTAAGATTGGTAGATATACAAAACCTGTGATCAGAATTATTTTACCCCTTGAATGATTTACTCTACTACATTAACCCACAATGTATGACAGCTTGAAAGTTGGTAGTTTAAGGTGTCAACCTCAAGGGGGTCAATAAATTATTCTTCAGGGTGGCTTTGATTTTTTATGAAAAGTTAAGTCTCATCATTTTTCTTATGTATGCAGTCATCATCTGAGCAAGCATTAGATTCAAAAGGCTTCAACCATAGAGATTAGAATTTTGTTCTGCAATATTTATATGAACCTTTACTTTTCTACAATTTCTTATCTTTCAGGGATCAAGATGAAAAAAAAAAGAAATGTGTTGTATTTGTTAATGAGACAGCAACCAAACACACCAACAGAAAAAAACCACAAACACATAGTAGACAAGTGCCTATATCATACATCAAGTTTTTTCCCTTTTAAAATTAAAATTTCAAGTTGAAAAAAGAACGTAAACATTTTAAACACCTATCTAAAAACTACATGGTTAGATTACAAATCTTCTATTGAAGAAAAGGTAATTTTGTTACTTGGTACATACAAGGAACTACTTATGTAGGTACAAATCTACCAGTTTAATAAATCTAACATGACAAATAAGTTCTAATTTTATCAGGTTTTATTGATAGTATTGATCAAAGTAGTACAATGAGAACGGTGATACTACAGATTTAAAGGTCTTTAAACATAGGGTTGCTAAGTACCTTTACTTAACCTGACGTTACACATACTGATAGACTACTAGGCCAATTATTACACTTTTTTCTCTCACTAGTATAAATTGACAATTTAAAGGTGTATTTGAAAAATAAATTTTTGCTTGCTGCAGTAGGGGACAGTTTTAAATGGTCAGGTAAATACTATTGGTCTTGGCAATATGGGCTTCTGTCACCTGTAAAGAATTCCATTTTCTGTCTTATGACAATGACTAAGCGTTAATTTTTTCCTGCAAGTCTATCACATATATCTTCTACTGTGCGTCCAATGATCTCTAAAAAGTCCTAAAACAGGACTGTACTGTGCCTATATTTTCTTGCCATTGCCAATATATCTATTTTCATACATTGCAAAAATTCTCTGTCAGTTAAGCTAGCTAGACATCATCTGACTCTGAGTGGGCTTAGGACTATCATTTTCTAATCAAAATTAAATTGATGAACTTAAAATGTATGGCCATAAAAGTCATTCACAAACCATTTGATTAACTACATGTACATGTACATGTACATGTACATGTACATGTACAATACTTTACCCATATCTATATATCTGTATCAGATTCTGATGTATTTATAAAAATTAATCTGACCCTATGTAACCTTTGATTAGCATTAACATAAATCACCATTAAATATATAAAAAAAATCTTCACCAGAATAAAATGAACTAAAAATCCTTGGAAGCCTTTTCCAAAAATCAAATTTGGATGTAAAAACCTGTCCAAACTAAACAAAATGTGAAGGGATATTGTAATTTCTCAAAATAACAGAATGAGAAAGGAAAGAATCTAAAGAAGTACATATAATACCTTCCATGATGTTGGCCTCTTGGCTCGCCTACGAATTCGGATCTTAAATATCAAAAGCTTATTTTTAAGGAAATAATAATATCAAGTTTAAGATGTGATAAAGTTACTAAAAATACACATTACGACTATTTCTAAAAGTTCAAGTAGCGGGAGAGATGTTCTGAAATAACACTTTGATCTAGACCAATAACATACTTCTCTCTACCTTAATGCGTAAGGATGTCTTCATTTTACACTTAAAATGCCAGATTCATGCAAAGTCCTTGTTAGATTTAAATAAGGACTGAAATGAACTTTTAGAAATGCAGTGCAAAATTTGCCCAGATTTGTTTGTAAAGCGTATTACAAACCTGTAACCTTTGTAAAGGTAATTTGTTGAAAATACATGATAGTGCAAGTAAGTTTGTGCAGTTATCAATAGATTAAGCCAAACAAAATTAAAGTTCTAGATACTCGTTCTTATGTAAAGAAAGGAGGATTTTATTTATCTTTTGTAGATATTAACTAATGCTAAAATATAAATGAAATATTCAAAATCATAAAATTAAATTTGAAAGTGGAGAAAAAAATCCTTGTATAGAGCAGTTGAGATGAGAAAAAAAAAGTATGGGCTCCATCTAGTTTCAAAATATACTAACCCCATCTTCAACTATTTTGAGTTCTGTCAAAATATCACTGCCGACTTCGACATCAAGGCTTTCAGCCTCTGGTCCACGTGTTCTAACTTTCTCTAACTCATCAATCTGGTCTTCTATATCTTCTAATTTTACATCACCATTTTCTACAGTATCCTGAATTTTTATACCAGATTCAGCACTGGTCTGAGATAGATAATTATCCGTAATACCGAATGCTTTGTCAATATCTTCCCGAGCCTTTTCCTCCTCTTCTTTTGGTTTAGCGTCAGCCTCAATAGTATACGTCCCTGATTCACTAACATTGTCTTCTTGTTTTTTAGGGGCCTCAACAGGGATGATTTTAGCAGGAACAGACTCCTCCTCTTCTGTTGGTATTTTTTTAAGAAGAGGCTGACGTGTAATTTTTTTGGGAGTACCGGTATCCTTGGCACTATCTTTGCCAAATTCATACAGTTTAGCTTCTCTATATAGAGCATGCTCACTGAATCTATCACTTTTAGGCGATTTCAATGGTGATTTAGTTGTACCAGAAGAAAACATTTTATCTATCAAATATGAAGCACTTTCGTTCACCTCAGGTTCAAGTTTTACTTCACTTTCTTTGGTTTTTAAAGATTTCCCCCTTGTTAATCCTCCCGACGAAAGCTTTCTCTTCTGATTATTAAGCTCTAAAAAAAATATAAAACAAAGAATAAAGTAAAATTCAGTCCTAATGGCATGGCTGAAAGATCTTTAAAGATATCAAAATATAATTTTACATAAAATACTTAAACATGAACTAGTTGTCACATTGTGGAACTGCTTTACATTTATAAGAACAGAACACATCATTTTACATTTAGTCATTGCACAAATTAAGTACGGCAAACTGAAAAGTGCATGTCGTCAACAACTTTGTTTCTCTAAATAAGATAAAAATTAATTATTTGTTTTCTAAATTTTTTACACAACAAATATTTCTTGTATCACAAAAGTCTTCTTAGAAAATTTTGTGAAAAATGTCCTTTGAAAGAATCTGGTCTTGATGGTAGATATTTGAAAGTCTCAGTTGAATATATTCACAACTTCTCTAAATTGAAAACTATGAAAAGCTTTACATATGAAATAGACATTGTCAAATGTTGAAGACCATAGTTTGACCAATTAATGTCTTTTGAATTGTGTTGTGATGTAAGATTGCTGTCTCATTGACATACATCACACATCTCCATTTATTCACATTTAGAAATATCATAATATATATATTAAAAATAAGCAATAATTATTAGGAAACAAGAATTATTATATCACCTTTTATTGAATGACTAGTTTTAGATTCCTCTCTGTAATCACTAGCACCACTGGAATTTCGTCGCATAGGTTTTCTGGACTTTTCCGAGGATTCCCACAATTCATCTATCTTTTTCTGTCGAGCAGGTGATGATCCTCTTGATGAGCTCTTCCTTGTTGGTGAAGATCCCCGAGATGAACTTTTCTGGGAATAAAATAAATTTGATTTTCTCAATCAAAGGGAAATAACTGTATGTAAATTTTTTTACATAATTTTAAATTCTGTGTTAGCCCTATTTATTGTATGCACCTTTGTTTGATGCGGTCAAGTTCTAATTTTTATGTACATTCAAACATTTAGTAACCATGCAGGAATAAAAAGTGCATAGGTAAACCAATGACCTTCAGCAAATAATTGACAATGTTACTACACAGGTTGAGTGTGCCAGAGTAGCCATTTTTGTAAATATACAGGGCAAGTCTGTATGTATCAATTCTTAGACCAAACAATATTTTTTTTAACCTGAAAATCTCCCTGTGAAGACCAGTTTCAGCAATATTTTTTGGAATAATTTTTTTTTTTCATGTAAAATATGTCTATATAGATAACCCAATAAAAAATGTAAATCAGGGATTCTTTGAACAACTGACTGTACATTTCCAATTGGCCATCAATACCCTTATGAAAAAAAAAATATGAAATTCATTTAAAAGGGGAAAAACTTTTTTTTTTCACTGAAATCTTCATTAGCTACATAGATCTAGTAACACAGTCTAAAATATATACCTCTTCTTTAAAAGAGTCCTCTGATGATTTAGAAGCTCTCTTATCAGTACGACCTCTGAAACTTCTTCTAACTTTGGATGGCATGAAATCTTCCAGTTTCCCACTAATATTCATTTTAGGTGATTCTTCGTCAAATTCAACAGTAAAAGCCATACTAATGCTGCCATCTGCTGGTTTGGGAGCACAAGTTGAGACAGAATTTTTTTCAGGAGACTCAGGTGTGTCCATTTCACCGGATTTATGAGATATTAAACTGTCTTTTGACAAAATTGATGCTTTGCTATTGTCAATTTCACTAGGAGGACTATTTTCACTTATTCCTACATTGTTCTGAAGACTTAAATTGGATGGTTTTTCAGAATTGGAATCTGGAAATAAACAAAAGATAAAATAAATTACTTCATAAATTGTTATGAAATATATTGTGCTATTACAAAATAAATTTAATTGCATAATATTCATATTTTTAAAATATACTTTATGTATGTTAATGAAAGTCATTTTTTTTTCTCTTACAAGTGGATGTAAAACTGATTTACATAGTTAGATATTGAAACCAGAAATTATAATATACTGGATGTTTTTGTTATGTGTAATTCAGCCTTGGAAAATTGCTTTATGTCTCATAACATTCAATTTCTAGGAGAATATAATCCATATATTACAACTGAAAACTAGAGAACATTAAAGAAAATGGTCAACCTTCAATCATACAGACAAAATCTTGTTTATTTGTATTTGGCTGTTGGAAAATTACTGATTTCATTATTTTGTTCCATTTTCCCCCAATACTCAGAAAGGAATAAATCAATTAGCAAAATGGTCTAAATCTTTTTTAGAAACATATCAGCATTATTCTTTCACAAAAATATGGGTAGAAAAGGTGATTATTATTTGTTCAAATTGTTGTTGATTTTCCTTTATATTGCTATTAAAGTCATATGATACAAATTAAGAAAGAGTTGAATATGTTTTGTATACTTGAATGGCTAAGTTTTACTATAAAACAAGTGTATATGGACTTTCTTGTAAAAGAAAATCCTTTAACTTATCAAAATCTTCAGAAATGTACTGCTATTGAATTATTGTCTTCCAGTACTCCAATTCGCCAATGTTTTTCCGTATGTAGTGACCTTAACTACGAGACCTCTCATTATAACTTTGGCCACTGCATAGCGCAAGTGCAAAGGAAAACCATGATAATAGAAAGTAAACAAACATGCACTGGAAGGTAAATAGTAATAATTGATTCGTAAAGAACAAATTAAATACACCAAATCATTTAACAACTGTTATGGAAAAGTTTAAATAAACAAATTGGAAAGCATGTAAAATTTGAAAAAATATTAAATCACTCTTTTAATTCACTTAATTTTCGTGTGCTGCATGATTCTGCATTTTATCAATGTCACGATCCTGTAAACGTCCGCAACAAACTGGAAAGTTAGTTAGCTTACGGTCATTTTTTTGAGTGTTTTGTCTGCTGTGGATTCATTTATTTTCGAGGGTATCAATTTTCGTGGATTGAAGAAAACTTGCATTTTCGTGGATATTTAATTTCGTGGTTTTGCATAGATCTGCATACACTCCTTCAGAAAATTAGTAATTTGTTGAACATTTAAATTCGTGGTTCCCCTCTGACCACGAAATGCACGAAAATTGGTATCCAACGAATAATAATGAATCCACAGTATTCAACACTTTTCTTAAGGCCATGGTGTTGTCTATGACTAATGTACTTTTTATTGCCCTTTATTTGCTGAGATTTTAAATACTTACTCTTGTCATAAGCCTCCTCCTCTCCCCACCAGTCAGGCTGCCCATACAGAGGAGTACACTTCTTAACAGTCTCTAATTCTGTAAAAACTGAGAAATACGCTTCTTAACAGTCACTTGTTCTTTCCAAAACATAAATAATGTGTAAGTTATTAGTAATACAAAGTCTAGCATTCCATAAAGAGGAGTACACTTCTAACAGGTACATCTGTACTGATAAAAGTCAACAGTAATTCACAATCAATTATTACATGTATTCCATCAGTTCCGCTGTATGATGAATACACTAATCACGGTAGCAATCTGTATTTCTCAAAAAGATGAAAGTATCATTACAAATATGTATAAAAACTCTGAAACACTTTCCTGTATAATTTCCCCATAAAACAAACTGAAATGTTTTTTTTACAGGAAACTAAAGAGTAATCAAAAGGTCATGTAGGAATTTTCATATTTGTATGTGAACTACGAACTTTGGCAAAATTATTGACCTACTGGAATCAGATAAAGAGTCAGTTCTGTGTTATATTAAAAAAATAGTATGTGTTGCAAATACAAAACAAGATATGCTAGTTGAAAACAGGTTCTTCTTACCAAATTTCATATTCAGACCTGTATCTGAAATTCATATCCATATATCTGTTTTGAAATTGAAATAATATCTGCCAGTGTTTATTTTTAAATCCTAAACAACCATGTTTATTTTGAAATAATAGAGTATAACTGAATCCTATTATTCAAGTTTAAACTTCTAAAATTATCCCATATTATATATAATCTAACAGCTAGAAATCTATGCTCCAATAACTTTCTACAGAAGTGAAAGGCTGTGAATAATTTTAAACAATAAAATTTGATATTCATACCTTCTTTTGTTGTGGTAATCAACACTTCAAAGCAATGAAACTTAAATCAAAAATACTAATTTGGTATATTCAAACAATTAATTAAGTGCTTGAAAATTTTTCATATTTCATGTAACACTGGCAAGGTTTTTCAGTATACTTATAAGGTGAAAAATTGAATTAAGTGCTTGAAAGTTATATAAAAACACAATCCAATTGTTTTTTCTCTCTCATTTACATTCCGGTATGAGAAAAAGGAGATTTTGATAGATGGCAATGTGACAGCAACCTTACAAAGAGAACAAAGACGTTTAAAGTTCCACATACAGTCTTCAACAATGTGTCTATACAATGTCAGTTTCTTAATCACCTTGAGTATAAAAAGGTTGTGGAATAAATTTATCAGGAACTATCCAAGATCTGCAATCAACAGTATAAATATCCCAAATGACAAAAAATATAAGGGAGCAACCATTTAACTTATCCCAAATGACAAAAAATATAAGGGAGCAACCATTTAACTTCAAAAGGGGGGGGGGGGGGTTTATGGTTTTTTGTCTGAGTCAAAAAAAATTTTGTGCGCAAAGCACAAACATTTTTTTTTAGTTTTTCGACGCTATCAATCAAATAATTTTTTTCAAAATTTAACACTATAAGGTATGGGGAAAATCTGGATTCAGAATATTTTTTTTGGTCATCTGCTTGACCACAATATTTTTTTCCATCAAATTGGGGATCAGAATATTTTTTTAGGAAAAAACCATAAACCTCCCCCCCTCTTGAAGTTAAATGGTTGTTCCCTAAGATATGATATATGATCAAATAAATGGGGAATGTGTCCATGGGACACAGATGATGCCCCCGCTTGCATATCATATAAAGTTATAAAGGGACATAACTGAATAACAGTAAAAATGATGCTTCCCAAATTTGTACTTGATCTAAGTTTTGTAGAAATAAGTATTGTGTATAAGTTTCATAAAATTTGGTTGAGGCAAACTTTAGTAAGAGAACGGAAACGAAAAATTCAGCAATTTTTCCATTTGTAAAGGGGAATAACTCTAAATCAATTAAAGTGACACCCCCAAAATTCAAACTTGATCTGTATTTTTTGGTAATAAGCATTGTGTATAAGTTTCATAACATTTGGTTGAGGCTAACTTAAGTTAGAGAACGGAAACGAAAAATTCATCAATTTATCCATTTGTAAAGGGGCATAACTCTAGAATGGTTAAAATGACCCCATTAAAATTCAAACTTGATCTGTGTTTTGTGGTAATAAGCATTGTGTATAAGTTTCACAACATTTGGTTGAGGCAAACTAAAGTTAGAGAACGGAAACCAACTTCGGGACGTACGGACGGACGTACATACAGACAGACAAGGGTAAAACTTAATGCCCCCTCCGCTACGACAGGGGCATAAAAACAATAACTGACAAAGTTCTGGACTTTGATACAGGCACATGAACTGGTAGCAGGGTTTAGATAGTTATTAGAGGTCTTGATAATGAACATATACTTTGAACTTGATTTTCATGAAATATTTTAATATTATCCAGAGACATTTTAGCTGACTCTATGCTAATTTTCATTTTTGTTTAGATCTTGGATTTTGAGAATTCATACGTTAAACATGAAAATGATTTTTTGACATCTTAATTTACAATCTATAAGTATTTATCATTATGCAGTTAATTTCATTTCTATGGTTACAACCAAAACAATACAGACTATTCTGTTTCCATAGAATCAGAACCTAAAACTGCACTGGTTGAACTCAGGATAAAGTAAAATCAATTGAAACAAAATATTTCTCATCAGCAATATCGATTTTCAGGTCTATCAATTTCTAAATAGCTAGAAAGCAAATTCAAATTGAACTTGACCAGAATCAAGAAAACTGGTTAACATATGTTTGGTTGTAATGAAACGTGTCTATCACATGAAAATTCATATATTCGTATCAGTAACATTTTGATTTTTGTTCTGCTCACCAGTACTTATCAATTTTAAGTATCTTTTAACATTTTCTTCATTTTTTGGGTTGAATGTTAGAGATGGAATGCTTTGAACAGATATGGTTCAACACAGCATAATCAAAAGTGGAGGTCGTCTCATCACATCATTTATTTTTTGCTCCCCAAACATGAATTTCATACTGACACCCTTTTATTTTTTTTAAGATCACTTTAGAATGGAATATTAAAGGCTATAAAACTAGATTTTTGATATCATTGCTGTAACTGTAAATGATTTTCCTGTATAATTTCAGTATAGAACAGATTGAATATTTTTACTGTTTAATATTCCTATAGAATATATTGATTTTTACAGGAAACGGTATTATTCACACAATAATTAAGAAACAAACAGCACTGTGTATGTCTACATAATATGCCGAAAGTGTCTATTAAATGTACTCTCTTTTGAATATTGACATTCATCTTACCCCAAATTTTGAAAACTGTTCTCTACGATTCAGCCATTAGCCAGGACACAAAGTTATCTTCCCGTATGTTTACTATGCCCTTGTCAGTAACACTTTTTCCCACAAATGACATTTCCTACATTATCTAAAACCACCATAACTTACCCTAATGAGTTAAATAATGGGCTGTAATAATGCCTAAAAGTAGTCCATTTTCTGTCAATAATTGCCCTCCTTATCACACATAATCCATTGTTATTCTTGTCCTTGATCACAAATTATAGCAAATGTACAAAGTAGTAGGCATACAATCAAGGTTGAGACCGTATGGACGATAGCCAACTTGTCATAGGAAATACACAATAAGTATAAATAATAAGTCTAGGTCGAAATCTAATATAGATAGTGATTCTATTTAAATATCAATAATTCTTGTCAGATTTTAAAGTTCAAATGGCTTTTTATTGTTTATGCATGATCGGTCAGTTGTCTAGGTTTTAAAAAGGTTACAAATCAAAGTTTATATTCCCATAATCTTTAATGTATATTCTCATCTTTCATACAAATAAATTACAAATTATAATATGTTTCATTGATAAAACTTATTGAAATTTTCTTTAAACGTACATTATGAATGAAATTTTATGTGTATGTAAGTTTCATGATTGATTGAAGTATAATAGATCCATAATTAACAAATCACATCAAATATAATATTCAAACATAAAATAGTATTTAATTTCTTTTATTAACAAGTTATGAAACATAATGTTGTCATAGGTTATTTGACCGTTCTATAGAGTAGTTACATTACACATTAGCAGGAGGCCCCTTTTGTCAAGTGTTCAAGGAGCTATGATTAATAGACAAGAACTATCCTGATCCTAAATTAAGTAGGTAACTAAAATATTTATCAATAGACAGTTAATAAATTATCAGCTGACTACTCAAATATCACATTCAATGTGTGTTCATTTCAGAATGAACGGTACCAATAATGGGACGTGATCGATAATGAAATTCAAACCTTTGACCCTGAAACTTTATCCTTTTAGATTAAGTACATATATAGTTGCCAGGTAGGTCTTCTGAATGACTATGAAGATGTTTGTTTACATGTATGGTAAATACAAACAATCAAAATTACATCACAAAGTTCAATAATACTTTAAAAGTCTGAAAACTTTACGAACTTTATAAAATTATATGATTAAGTAGTTTTTTAGAGGGATATTTATTGAGAAAGAAATGCTCAAGTACACCAATATTGAACAAAAACTCGAGGTAATCATGTGTCATCATAAAAAAATGCAGGAACATTAAAATCGCTGATTTATGTCCCCTTAGTTTAAACACAATACTGCCACATTTTATATCCACATAGAGTCACTTAAATGCAGGCTATACTAGTTTTGTGGACTTGCAAGGTAGAAAAATCATGATCCTTCATGGAAAAAAGTATTTTATGAATAAAATGAGATGTGAGAAATACATCAATGTGACACCATCCCCCTTCCACCCCCCCCCCCCCCCCCCCAAAAAAAAACCCATTGATGTCAGCATATAGTCTTCAATAATAGATAAGTGTCTTAGAGATATAGGGGGAGGGTTGAGATCTCACAAAACATGTTTAACCCTGCCACATGTTTGCGCCAGTTCCAAGTCAGGAGCCTCTGGCCTTTGTTAGTCTTGTATGCTTTTTTAATTTTAGTTCATTTATATGTTTCAAAGTTTAGTGTGACGTCCATTTTCGCTGGGATGGTGCACATTTTTGTCTGGGGGCCAGCTGAGGCCTGCCTCCGGGTGCGGGATTTTCTCCCTGTGTTGGAGACCCATTAGTGGCCTTGGGCTTTTCTGCTCTTTGGTCAGGTTGTTGTCTCTTGGACACATTCCCCATTTCCATTCTCAATTTTAACAGTATGTCAAGCTATAAATCTGCACTTAGTCAATTAGAACTGTACATGAATATAAGAGAGACTTAAAAACATTAAGATATACTGGTAACTAAAGATTGACTCAGGCTAGGCACATGAACATGTTAGGTTACACAAAATAAAGTTTAAGCAATATCAAAACAGCAGCTTATTCTGAAAGCATTAAAATTTTTAGCACTGACTAAGCATGGTTCATAGTCATATTGCATTACTATATTTTCTTCCTTAATATGCATGTTATATTTGCAGCTGGACATTAATCATCTATTCATCCATTATTCCTTCACAGACAATTTTCTTATGAAAAAATGTCTTGAACCAAGAATTGATCTAAAATTCCTTTAAGACAATATATTTCATAAAAAAGGTTAATCCATTAATATGCATACTATAGAAGATAACATTTTATGAAAAATAGTTCATATTCACGATAATATAAGACTATTTTCTTTTGAAAAATTATTAAATTATGCTATGCATTAACATAAATTGAAGATTGTTTTTCTCATCTCGCCTCTGGAAAATGTTTGAATGAAAAACTCCATAAATCACTAATTAACACGTCTTCAAAGACAACTTCCTAAGAATATAACAGTAAAGGATGAAATAACCTACCCTGAAAGACGAAATTTCCTGTTAAATCTAAGTAATCAACGAAATGTCCTACGGTATCAACATAAGAAGGGATTCTATAGATGGCAGTATCATTACAACACAGCGTTTTATTATATACCATTTATTTCCTATTGATGGGCTATATTGATTCTCCTGTAACATACTACAGAGGATTATATCTACCAAGATCCATAACTTGACCAAATTTGTCATTTTTGCAATAAAATTTTTACGAGGATATAAAAAATTATGACAGATAAAAATGGCTTATGTACACCATCTGTGATATTTTGACTTTACTTTTCATCAAAGAAATATCCAGAGTGGTTCAAGGTCAAACCTGTTCCTAGATGGGAACGGGAGGTATGAAAGTACCTCTTTAAATAACAAACACATTTTAAAATGAAATTCTTTTAGAGAACCGTCGGTTTTGAGGGTAGATCTCAACATTTTGAATATGTCTGATGCCCCCATCAGATTTTCTCTATCTATAGCAGATTTCATGATAATAGATAAAATATAATTGAAGAAAATACAAAGAACTGATTTTGGTGCAAAGTACAAATACATACAATTTCTCATAGTGACTCATACACATGTCAAAACTTAGAATCTAATACAATTTTGCCTAACAAAAACCCCTATCCCTTTCCAAAACTTTCTTTAGCTCATTTAATGAGTAATCAATGACGCATTCTTCAATACATCAATGACATAAATCTTGAATGAACAGCTTTAAATAATCCCATTTGTGTATTGAAATTCAACTTCTAAAACTAACCAATCTGCAAAGTTGCAGTCAAGGTCTTGCCCTTGCTCCTTTGTTCACCAGACTTCACTTATCACCAAGAGATAAATATGGACATGTCTAGGTATTGCTTAGTTTAAAGAATATGCCTTGTAATGAATTCAAAATATCAAAACATGCATGTTGAGCAAACATTCTATTTGGCATACATGCAAATTACAAAGATAAAATTGGCAAAACGATGACTTTTAGGAATGTAAAGTGATATAAAATTAGATGCACCATTTCTTAAACTGATAAAGCTTAAATCTGTCAAAGTACAAAAAATTAAATGATAATGTTCAGTAATAAATTACATAGCGCTATAGAAATAAATTCTAATATCTGTACACAATTTATTTGACAAAAGACAGCTAAGATCAACCTCATTTTTGGTGGGGTTGGCGTTGTTCTGTCTTTAGTTTTGTATATAAAGTTTTTTAGGCTGCTGTTTGTCTTTTCATAGTTTTTGTTTTTTGCCATGGAAGTGTCTGTTTTCTTTTACTAATAATATTTATTGCCCCTTTGGTATTGTCTGCCTCATTTTTTTCTACTGCACTATCTTATACCAGTAATCATTTATTTGTGAATAGGATACATCAATCATACAGAAACCCAAAGACATAAATAACCAAAAGACACCAGGCATTTAGACTTATGTTAATTTATTTTCCTGTAAGTTGTCAATTATACACTTCTTTTATCAAGAGTTATCTGCAAATTTTAGGGAGTATTAAAATAAACTATATCTCAAGTTGATTGCAGATATATTTCTGGATTTAAACTTCAAACTCTCACAGGAAAATGATTCTTAAGCTTGTGAATTTTGCTAGAAAAAAAACTTTATTACTTCCCCTCATAAAGAACTGGTGAAAGCAGTGTAAATATTCAGTGCACAAGAATAAATGTTGAGATAGTTGTATCTATTATCTACTTAAAGGGATAGTAGCTACGATTTTGACAAAATTATGACCAAGTTTTAAAGCTGCTAAAATCAAAGATATGTACTTTAAATTAACTATAAGATCGCTGGATTGTTTATATAAAGTACAAAAATGTTAATAATTGATAATTAATATCATGTAGCGTGCCTTTTCATCTCATTAATTATGCATTGGGTTTACTTCCCGAACTTTGCCGACACAGCGAGTGAGATGACCAAGATATAAATAAATATGGACATGTGCTTTTGTTTTCTTACGTATTTGACAATTTCTTTAGATTAAACGTACATATTTGAAACCATTTATCAAATTATGTAAACAACAAAATATACCAAATGACTGCATATTATTCGAACCCAAGGTTCTCCAACAATGGCGATATTATACACTTGTTTTATATTTGTATGACAAAACAATGCCGATAACGTATACACGTGTTTGTGAATTGAATTGGGGCCTTCATGCAGGGTACACAGGAAGAATAATATTAAATTGTAAGAAGTTGATTTTTAATGTCTTCTAAGTTGTGAGATCACTGCTCTTAAATTTATAAAGATATTTTGGACAATAATGATTTGAACACGTCGCGATTTATTTTCATGTGATCTGGATTCGAAAAGTTCAGAAATGTCTTTTACATTTCGCAAACCGTCGTAATGTCGACTGTTTATATAATGACTTTATCTGCGTGACGGGTGTTTGTAAATGATTCTAATGACCAATCTCAACGCTGTTATTTATTTTCAATTTACAATAACTTGTCTGCACCTCTTTACTGTTTCTTTTTCTCGCAGAAACTGTAAACACACGTTCCATTTCTGCGATAACATTCCTCTGTTCGACATTTTCCCTTCGAGGGACAACTTGCGATTGCGTACAAAATCCAGCATATAGATTAGAAAAATAATTTTAATGAAAATCGTAGCTACTATCTGTTTAACCAAGCACATTTTTAAATGGAAATGGCTGACATTTTACTTCATCAAAAATTTCCTTTGATCAATTTATTAGAAAGTACATATACTAGTCTATAGAGTTCTCAACCCAGGCATAGTTCCGGAAAATAGAACTGGAAGGTGATGTTCTGGAAAATCACATCTGGGATGGAAAGATTATTTGCAACATATTGTATAGAGCTAAATAAGCTTATGAACAGACACTGTCTTTTGTTTAAAGCTCATACAATCATCTCTAGAAATCTATAGTTTTCATTACTTCTTAAGATAAACTACTGTTTCATCCTATCTTCAATGTCTCAAGCAAGTGTTAAAATTGCCACAACGAAGGTTTCAACTGAAAAAACAAGTGAAACTGTGAGCTACTACTCACTGATGATACCCCCGCCTGCCCAGGAAGTTGTTGAGTGATAAATCTGAAAATGCATCACACTGTAAAGCTGACTTATATAAACCCTGAAACCAAATTTCAGAAATCCTTATTATGTAGTTCCTGAGAAAGATGCGACAAAAATATTCATGGGACGGATGGACAGATTGACGATGGACAGACTGACGGATGGACGAACAGACAGAGGTAAACAGTATACCCCCACTTTTTTAAAGCGGGGGTATGAAAATCAAAATCGATAGATAGAAGACAGAGATAATATCTAACCTGGAGGAAGATTTTCGGGTATGCTGCCTTCACCCCTTAATATTCTGTGACCACTTTCAGAATCATCAAAACTACTATTATCCGGGAAGAAAGTGGCAATGTTTTGAGTATTTCTGACCCTCTTTCGAGGCCATGTGTTGGAATCTTTGGTCTTGTCTCTGTGATGACTTGTGTGAATGTGTACTTCATCTTCAGCGTCTTCCTCTAGATAAACGTCCTTTCTCTCTCCTCCACATGTGTGACATAATTTCTGTTCTGCTATACAGCCCTGAAATAACAAAGTCAAATGTAACAATTATATTCTCAACCATACTTGTTAACTGGAAACAAGAACACACTCTATAATGACTCTCATACATTAACAATGTCCAACCAAATATTTTGTACTAAATTTATGAAAACACAAGATGTGTGCTAATTAGACAGTCAGCAAATATTGCATTTGTCAGTCCCCATAATGACCTCTGGCCTAGCAATCATAAACATTTCCAGTCCCCGTACGATTATCTTTCTCAGTAAAATCAAAATACTGGATTTGGTGTTTTGAGAACAAATTTTTACTCCAACACTGAGCACCTAGTAAAGTTTTATGACCATAGATAGACCCTGGTAAACCATTCCAAAATAAAGAGCTGCGCCATGAGCGCATGATACGCCAGTTGCTTTTTCAAAGAATTAAGTTCCATAACTCCTCAATGTCATATCAGAAATTTATAAAAAACTAAAGGAAGGATATTTTAATAGATATAAACCAGTCACAAAAGTTTCATGAAAATGGCTCAAAGCACTTTTGAGTTATTGTCGGAAAACTGGAAAATCCCCCCTTTTTTATGAATAAAATCCCATAACTCGGAAACGTCAAATCTAAAATTTGTATAAATCTAAAGGGAGCTTACGTCAATAGATATAAACAATTCACCAAAGTTTAATGCAAATTGGTTAAAGTGTTTTTGAGTTATTGTCTGAAAACTGGAAAATCCCCCTTTTTTTAATGATCCGGAAACATAAAATCTGAAATTTATAAAAATCAAAAGGGAGCTCACATCAATAGATATTAACACTTCACCAAAGTTTTATGCAAATTGGTTAAAGCATTTTTGCGTTATTGTCCGACATGGTATACCATAATACGTCCCGTAAACAGGCGTATAAAAATTGGTTGGATATGTCAATTTGTAAATATATTAATACGTCATGTGTTTAAATCAGTAAGTAAAAAAAAAAAAAATATTAAACTGCAGTAAATTGTAGTATACTTTTTTACAAATTTAAGAAAATGTTTTGCATGGCAGTAGGCAGAAGGAAGTAGATTGAAAAGAAAATTAGGCAACCATCACCATAGCCTTTGACAATGCACCAGAGGTGTAATGCAGGTTACCAGGACGGGGGGGAATAAGATGTAACAGACTGTAATATTTCGGTTGAATAATGCATATTTGGAAATATCTCGTAGGAATCATTAAGCTTATCAAATTAAAGTACAACTTAAATCTTCATTCTAGACATTTGCTTCTGAATGTTTAATATGACTCTGCCTCTGACATGCTAATTTACTATCTTTTCATAATCTAGAAGTCATTATTAATTTGATCAACATCAACCAATGAATTTTGATCAGTTCCCAGACAAAATTTCAAGCTTGTGTCATTTTTATTTTTTTAAATTCTCCTATGATTGGTAAACCACTTAAGCACTTTTTGCTTTTTTCAAATACAAAATACTTAGAAACAATAAATGAGAATTATTGGTTGTGTAATATACCTACCATAATTGGTTGTATGGGAATATACACTCCTTCAAAAGCAGGCTTGTAATAAAAGGAATGATCATTAGATAAGCAAAGCTTTTAAAAAGTTTTTAACATCAGAAATGAAAAATGTCATTATACCAGCAGATTTGCAATGTAAGGAATCTATAATGTCCTAAAATAGCAGGCTTGTAAATATGCAGAATGATTAATGGCATATGAGAAGGTTTGTAATATAAGAAAGGAACGATTTTAAATGTGCAGACTTACTACATAAGGGAAAAAATACTTCATATTAAAAGCATATAGGCAGATTTATAAAATAAAGGATGAATGAAATGCAATAAGCAGGACTGTAATATACTACGAATGAATATTGATTGTTGGTTCTTTACACCACTTTGAACACTCTTGGTTATAACATGGTGACCAGTTTTTTTTGTGGAGGAAGCTGAAAAAACAAGAGAGAACCACCGACTTTCAGCAAGAAAACTTACAACCCTAGTCAATAAAGCTACGAGTCAAACGCACCTATCAAATGCTTGTTATGAATTCACAGCCTCAGTGTTGACATGCTAGTAGATGAACTACTTAGACCACTCACCCATTGGGGCCATATAGGAAGGTTTGTTATATAAGAAAGGAATAGAAACTATCTTCTTTTTGATTCATTTTCATTTATTCCCTTTTTGAGTGCTCAAAATTGGATTTTTTGTAAATTCATTGAACTTGTCTGAAAATTTTTTTCTCTCTCTCTCTAAATATGCAACTTTCCACAATAAAAGAATAAAATTATTGTGTTGTTAGTTATCCCCCTTGAAACAGTATCAACTTTTATGAAAGACCATTCACATCAAATGCTGCTTGAAATTTTTTCTTTAAAATTACATGTTTCGCTCTCAAGAGAATCAACCCCTTTCAGAAGTATGCACTTAACTTCAGCTTTACCTACTTTTTCAGATAATGATAACCATTATCTAATTGTTGTAGTAAGAAATAAGAAAGCTTGCCAAATTCACATATTTAAAATCTCAAGAATTTTAAATTTAATATTCTTAAAATTTTTAGCTCAGAAGGCAATTATTCTACATTGATAAATCCTAAAATGATCTACAAATAAAATTGTTTGTTGATACAATGGTTGTCTTTAATATGTTCAATACATAGGTATTAGTTTTACAGATAAGCAATATCCTTTAAAAGTTGTTTGACAATGGTTTAGTTTGCCTATATAACGTCCACCTTGAACTTTCTATGTAAATTTATTCATCTATACAAGAATGTAAAACTACAAAATAATCAAGTCAATCTAGTAAATGTATACTAGTTAAATAAATTTCATAGATGTATACAGATTAAATTCTCCCACTTTGTATACAATCTTGAAACTTTGTCCCATCAACCATCCATAAAAAAAACTGTTGGTACAAGTACCATTATACACCTAGAATACTGAATTTTTTTTTATTCCATATGTCCACTTATTTCATTTTTATCCACCTTGGGGTTAAGCTGAATTGTCATCTAATTGAAATTAGTATTTATGATGCAGTTTTTAGCCTAGAGAATAAAAATATATGGGGTAGATGTCCATGAGATAAATAATAAAAACAAATAACTGAAGCTTGAGGTCAGACAAGTCTGACACCATAACACCAAGTTCATGTAATATAATTTATACTGACCATCAGAATACTTTTACTGAACAGCAATTAATTTCAGAAAAAATCTTACAAAAAAAATTACTTGTAAGTCATGAACATGTTTTTGTTTATATGTCTTTTGATTGAGTTAAGCCATTTCAATTGATATCTTATAGTGTGTCTTTCTGTGTTGTGATGTTACACTATTGTTTCAGGGAGGGTGAAGGTTGGCACCTATTAAAACGTTTAAACCCGCTGCATATGTTTGCACCTGTCCTAAGTCAGGAACCTGATGTTCAGTGGTTGTCGTTTGTTGATGTGGTTCATAAGTGTTTCTCGTTTCTCGTTTTTTATAAAGATTAGACCATTGGTTTTCCTGTTTGAATGGTTTTACACTAGTCATTTTTGGGGCCCTTTATAACTTGCTGTGCGGTGTGAGCCAAGCCTCCGTGTTGAAGGCTGTACTTTGACCTATAATGGTTTACTTTTTACACATTGTGACTTGGATGAGAGTTGTCTCATAGGCACTCATACTACATCTTCTTATTTCAATTTATTCCAACAACAACTGCACCGAATATGATATCATACAAATACAGGACCTCTTGATCGACATGACATCAATTTGAGGATTGATATTTTAATTCTAAATGGGAACTAATTGTGCACTACCCTGGCCGACTTGTTTTTGTTCTTGTATGAAGCAAGGCTCCATGTTGAAATCCGTACTTTGACCTATAATGGTTTACTTTCTTGTGAAAAGAGGTACATGTACTGGGATGTGGAGCAAGGTTTTTTTTTTACTGTACTCTCCATTTTTTGTAGGACAGAATTAAACTTCTGTACTTTAAATCATCTTATGCTATCTTTTGATCTTTTTTTTTTTTATTTTTTTTACTGGGATGGTCATAGCAGCTTTTGAAAAGTTTTCTATACAAAATTTCTAAACCATAATTTTCACCCACAAAAATATGAAGGTCATGTGTACTCAGAAATGTCATCTTCTCACAGTATTTGTTTTTCATGTGTCCCGATTATAAAGAATACTATAAACTGATAAAATATTTACAAAGCTCTATTCATCCCAAAAGATTTTTAGATAATTCACAATAGAATAGAATGAAGAATCTATTTCAAGTACGAACAACAGCACCTCTTTCATCCATGTCAATCTTACTCTCATGCAGAACTAGAGTTCGGCCTCAGAAAATTTACACCTGAATACCTTTAATCAAAAGGCAGGTAAATAATCCTTGATCAATAATACATCAGACAGGTAAAACCTATGTCTACATTACTTTGTGGTTATATACTTCTATAAATTAAACATGTGGTTATTCAGTGTTCTACTTATACCAGTCAGAGACAAACCAGTATTCCATAACTCAAAATTGTTGAATTATGTACATTATAATTGTATACATATTAATTAGAATCTATTTCGCCCTCTTTTGTGTTCATCACTAGCATCAAAAACTGCATAATTTAGAGGAATTCAATCTCTTGACAAAGGCTTTACTCTGGTTGAAGAATTTCTGTTAATTAAATATAAGGAGATGTGGTATGATTGTCAATGAGACAACTCTATCCAACAGAGTCACAATGAAATGGATTTAAGCAACTAAAGGTCACTGTAGCCTATTAAAAAGGGGAAGTGCAAAAGATGTAACAACCTTACAACATAATTCAACATAAAAGACATCTAGAGGTCAACATATAAGTTAAGAAAATAAATGAGTGTTTACTTAAAAATGCTGAGAGTAAGGGGAAGTTGTGGATGATTCAACAGAGACAGCTAATTATCAGCTATCAACATGAAATTCTTGAATGGCCAAAAATTCTGTGAAAAAAAAACCCAACAAAACTGACGCGGTTCCTGACACAGGAAGATGTGACAGGTTGAATATTTTCTCAAGTTTCCCCCCCACTCCCCTCCCCTTTCCCATGATTCCCTCGATCTGTCGAATGAAAAAGGTACAGAAAAAAAACACCCCATTAAATGTACAGCCACAGATTAATACTGTATAATATAATATCAATGAAAGAATACTCCCAGTTAATGAAAGTAAGCTGAAAGTACTTAATCGTTTCTAAAAAAGTACTTAATCTTCTTTTATGAATGTTTTTTACAACAAGTTATATAATATGTTTATACTTTAACCTCTTGCCAAATATATCTTAGGATTGTAATGTATTCAATCTTGCAATGTTGCATGCTATCAAACTTCCTGTTCAGATGTCAATAAAAATAACTATATTTCATACTAATTGTCTTGATAAACATCAAAAGATAAGATAGGGGGAATCTTCTTCATCTTTGATATATGTCATTCTGTTATTAGTTCTGATATTCTTTAGAAAAAAGAAAATTTTCACCTGTTTTTGTAAGTCAGTCCATACATCCATAGTCTTACTCATTTCGACATGTAATTCTGATCTGTCATCGACAATTACTCAAATATTTGCAGACTTTGAGTTTAGTTAGGTATGACTGCTGCTGATAATAATGAAGAAGATCCCAGCAGATCGATTACTTGTTTGATTACTTGATTGGTTGATTGACTTATTTTTTAATGTCAAGAGACAATTACAAAATATTTCATCAATTAATTGTGCAGTTTCAACAGCATCAAAATATTATGAAGTGAACAGACCCATATCTTTTTTTAAAACTAACAAATTCAAACCTTAAAGCAATAGGAGGTAAAATCTGTCTAGTACCTAGGTTTGTATCAGGTGTAGAAGCTGTAAACCCTAAAGTCTAGATAAATCGGGAACCTGTCATCTAATAACAGCAATCCATGAAAACTGGGATCCAGAAATAGAAGTAAATTTACAGTGTATTACTTTTCCCCAAGCACAATGAAAAGCATTAGGGGGTAGATCAAGAATTTCAGTTATGGGGAAGGGGGCATACCTCCCCCCCAAAATCTTTGTCCCCATAAGTTCCAAAATCATAAAAGGGTGGGAGAGTGTATTAGCTATCTGCAACAACACCTGGTACTTAATGATGTTTACTACGTTAATGTTCTCAACATAGTAACCCAGTTATGTAGCTAACATTATATAAGACTTACATTTGTAATTCCTAATACATGTATATTAAAACTTGTATTACGTAAGAATAAGGAGCCAGTAAATGATCTGGACCCAGGTGTTTAATACAAATTGCCAACAGGATAAATTTAACAATAGGTTCAGTATACAAAATTTACATTTGATTAAACCAGTGAGTAAATTTAAAAACAATTTTAATATGTATTTAACAAAAAGAATAATCTAAGCCCTGGCTGAAATGTCTGTGAAACTGGGTTGTGACCTTCACCTTATGAATATAAATTACCTCACATTCGGCTAAGGATGCTAATTCTCTTGTCGCCCAGGCTGGCATTGTAGGAGGGGGAGGAATGTTGATGTCATCATCCAAATTAATTGCTGATTTCTCTTCAATCTGTTCCATGTAGTAAACCATAGAATGTAAGTTAGTGTTAAGGAGGAAAATATCCATTTTTGGCCGAAAATTACACGAAACACATGGATACAAAATAAATATGAAGAATTAGTCACTTTTATTTCTTTCTAAGTTTTACAACAATCAGTTTGAAAACATTAACGTGGTGACATCTGTTTTTTATGACAAATGAAATGACATCATAGTTGGGAATTTAATTTTTCCAGCTGACATCATTTTTAGTGGTCATTACCATAACATAAGCTGCAAATGATTTTCAATTTAGTGACATAAAATGACAATAGATACAGGAAAAACGCCTCAAATACTTGCTACACTTCTTCAATAAGGGCAAGGTAGTATCGTAATGACCGTTAAAAAGTGTGTCAGGCGCAAAATATCATTGCAGAATGAACTAATCACGGTTCATTTGAAAAACATCAATATTTCTATAGTGAATCTTATTCAGAACTAACATTTTTCGCTACATACATCATTAGAACACCACATGATATCATATTAAAATTCAAATTAACTATTATGTTTTCACTTAGGCTTAATGAGGTACTAAAAATAAAGTGACATAGGAAATACTCAACAGAATTCTGAATCCACTGAAGTAGGTGCTTAGTGTTATACATAATTTTCAGCTTTCAAGTCAGCAAACAATAGAATGCATCTTGAATTAATTAAAATATTTTAACATTTGTCTTTTAGCTTAAATAAAACATGAACCAGTAAGCATCTTTTCTGATACATGTGTAAGCCAGCAAATTTATCCTAAAACTTGCTATAGGCAATCCCCCTAGTCTAATTACTCCAATATCTTATTTTATCCATATAAATCCATGGAAATTGATTTCTAAATTCATACACTTTTTCCCCTTTTTGCTCCCCATTTACATAAAATAAATGAACTCTATGAAATTCTCTTGTCCTATATTTACTATGATTCAGATTTATTCCCAACTGTTTTAAGCAAAGTTTGCTATTTACCTGTATACTTTGATATAAAATCCCATGATTCATTGTTTTCCAATGTCATGGAAACAATGACATATGTTTTAAAAAAGGATATCAGTTCCAAGTCTGACAGAGTCCATATGTTTTAAGGTGACATATTCTTGGTCTTGAATCCTTATGTTATTCACATAGGTCTACAAAAAATAAACACTTTATCTTGAAAAAACATAAACATTTTAATAAATTGCATATTCATTTAAATTTGACAAGAAAGTTGTTTGTAGTTGTACATTAGTGGTTCATTTAAAATCTTACACCAAGTAAAAAACTGCAAAAGAATATTGTTCATAATTTTATACATTCATGGTTCATTAAATATCTTTACCATACATAAAACTGCAAAAAACTGTAAAAAGCTATTAAGTTTTATTCTTCAAACATATTTATAACTGTTTGTGAATTATACACCTTTATAATTAATGTATTGAAAAAAATGAAATTTTGAAAAACATAAATCTTTTTAAATCTGTTTTGCTTTCTTTTGGATATATAAAACACTTTGTTGTCATGAATATTTATACATAAAGATATAAAATAAATACTGCAATTTTCAAGGATATATACATAAAACTCCATGCTTAAGTTGTGGTGTATTTAAAGTGCTGCTGTCTGTTATCAGGTTTTTCTCAATTTGCTTATTCATCTCTGAAAACTTCCTAGTGGGTTAAATACTGAGCTTATGATAGTCTAAAAATTACAGCCTTTTCCCATAATTTTCAAATAGACAACAGACTTTATTCTGGATTGACGATTTTTCAAACCCTCCCTAACAGTAAGACAGACCCCCCTCAATTTTATATACAACTGGTTTCATGTACTGGGTAGGAAGGTAGATGAAATAGAATTTGTTGATAGTCTCTGATTGGTTTGATTGACATTTTGTTAAGACTAGGGACAGTTTAGTTTGTTATATGGAACAGACTTCTATATATTGCCCTCTTGCATGTCTAGATGTTTTTTAGGTTTTATTGTGTTTTAGGGTAGCAGTTTCATTGGCATATATAAACAACATCTTCTTTTCTTCCTACTTCTTATAAAAATCATATACTTCTGAATAGGGCTTTACAGGCAGATTATTTCAAAATTCAAATAAATTGAAAAAGAAAGAAGGGACAATTTCCTAAGGTACATTCCATAGTATCAAAAGGAAATAATTGTCATGAAAAAAGATAATATTATGCAGAATAAGTAAATCTGAAAGTTTTATAGAAGGGTATTAACAAAATTCATTTATTTTTTTTGACAATTTCTAATACTAGAAAATACAAATTAAACATTCATATGTCAAACTAAGATTTATCATCACTATTCAAACAAAAAAATATTTACTGAACAAAAATCTTACCCCGTTAACTGTACTAAGATCCTTAATCTTAAACCTGTTCAGGTAGTGGTCGAACGTTATCACAGCATGTCTCTTGTCCACGGATTGTGACTGAAAAGAAAAATGTCACAATTACTAGTCTACAATTTTAATCCACCCATTCATCGTGACATCAGGTACTAAAATACACACTATAGCCATCCCTGGCAGACACAAGATATACAGAAAATTAAAATATGCTTTTCATTTTACATAAATATGAGTCCGTATGTACCTGTAAGCTTCGATAAATTAATAGTAGATCTTATAAATCTAACACAATTTCTTCGAATATCGCACATCAAAGCCTGGCATTGATCATGTTACTTGCTATTTCTACTTTATCCAACCACTGCACTGCAATTATTTCCGTCATGATTATAAATATGATTAAACATGTATTCTCTCTATTACATAGATCACCTGTAGTGAGAGTTAAATGTTTGAAGAATAATCAGATAAAATTCACTGGCTCTACCAAAGTCTGATGAAGGAATTTCATGTTTACTGTTTAATACCTAATCAACCACCTTCAGTTTTTCATTACTGAAGATTGTGTTGAAAGAATGTCACTTTCTCACTCTTGGCAAGTTCAAGAACAAGAGCAACAACTCTTGGGTGGGATATCATACTGTAAATTCAGAAATTATTGGGAGGTTTTTAATGCGAATAATGCGACTGGGTGAGAATAGCAATAATTAGAACTCACATTCTGATATCCAATACATATAAATGTATGGGGATTTTCCTGAAATCGCATTAATTAATCTCGCATTTTTGTCCATTCTTAAAAAATCGCAATAATAAATGCACGCAATAATTTCTGAATTTACAGTAGTTAGCCTGATGTAAGTATCTTTACAGATCCAACCCAATACAACTTTTTTTTTTAGTCAATATTATCTGTCTACCCAACTTTAATACAAGTTGATACATTGTTAACTTGTTCTTGTTCATCATTTGAAATACTGGCTGCTGGACATTCAACAACTAACAATCAATCAATCAAATACTTAGAGGTTAAGTCATTAATTGGTATCATTCTATTTTATCCTATATTTGAGTAAGCTTTTTGTAATATGCTTTGTATTTGTATTTGTCTACTTAACTAATGTAATTTGATGTATGTCTGTGGTTTTTTTTGTTTTTTTTTTCGATTTAGATAAAAGTCAAAATTCAAAAATACTAAAGCGAAGTAAAAGGAATCTGTAAAAGTTTGGAGTTTCCATATTAACTAAATATTACACATTGGAAGATGCTATACTAAGAATGTCAATGTAATAGAATGTTGAAGTGATGTTAGTTACAAGTAAATTTTATAATGATCACAGTGACCTATATACAAGTAAGCCTTTTATAATATATACAGTGAAGAATGCAAAATCATTGAAAATGCAACTTTATATGCAATGTAATAAATGTAACAAAATAAGTTTTTATTAAATGTCACTATGGAGTCACACTGACTGATTTAGTTAGCTAATTTTGCAATTTCTTTTCTTGAATTCCAAAGATCACTATCTTTACAGCATTAATGATATACGTGTCAACAATTTTCTTGCAAGTTGTGAAATCTATCTTCATTTAATACATATCAAAGTTAGTCTTCTAAAGTTTTGTATAAATAGTTCTTGATGAATTAACCCAAACTCACCACTTGCAAGACACATGTAAGGTTAAATTGTAACTCATTATCAAACTTTTCATGAAAATCTAATTTTACCTCAAGGCCCCAATTAAGTTGGTCATGTGTAAAATTACAATGCTCAGTACTTGCTTAATGATGTCTTCATTAGACCTCTACTTAAATTATGCCCTAAATTTTACACAAATACTTTAGAAAAGAGAAGAAACTCTTTGCACTTGTTTTGGGTTTATTTCAAATAGATATAAACAAAAATTGACAAAGACTTACTGTATATATTTTTCAAGATGCATAAAAAAGTGAAAACAGAATCAGACTTTAAAAAAAAAACAAAGTCTTATCTCATAAAGATAAGGTTCAAGAAAGTACTGCCAAATTTCAGAATAAAAAAAAAACATGCCGAAAAGAAAATGGAATAACTATGTCATGCAATAATAACTAGATAGTAAACAAGTAATAAACATGTAGTATACGATAGTTGTTAGATCAGAGGTCAGTGCTCGACTGATAATTAATATTGTATACAAGTGTATATGTGAACCACCTTACTGCAGCTTGGAATTTTCTCTCTGTATTTTAGGCAAATTCACAAGTTTAAGTAGTTTTGATCTAAATCCAAAAATTCTCCCTGCAACAACAAAACATTATGTAACATGAACATGTTTATTAGTGGTAGAGTTCCATAAGGACAAAATTTATACATATGTTTTGTAGCAGGAGGTTTAGTTAAGCTTATAAATATTTCAGATTCCCAGAGGTGTCTTTAAGAGTATAATAAACAATTAATTTCCCCATAGGCGACAATGAAAGCCCTTTTTGAGATACAGACTTTAGAAAGCTGATTTTTTTAACGAAACCTTGCTAGAATTAAAGAAAAGTTATTAGGACAGTATTTTTTGGTCCAAAAAATATAGGTTCGCGTTGCTTTTCTTAGCGTAATTTGTACTTATCTCCCATGCCTATCAATTTTGCACTTAAAAATACGTGTCTCATCCTAGCGTTTAAAAGACATCTCAGTTCCGTTAGGGCTAAGGAAAATAATTTATTTGGCCTTTGGTATAATGTAGAATGCACGAAGTCTCTAATTACAAAAAATAACGGGCGCATATATCAACCAATCAGGATTAGCTATACTCTTAATTCTGAATACCATGTTATGCTCATAAAATGGCTGCGCCCATAAAATCTAATGGTGTATTGTAACCTATACGCTATTTAATACTTTCTAGAATCATGCAATTCATAGTTCGTTAGATGCATAAATATATATGCCACACAAAAATCATCTTCAAAACGTTCTGGCATTACTCTCTGAATTTTCACAATTTTTTATCAGAGGTAACCCCAGTCAAAAAATGTGAAAAAAAAATTTCTGATTTTTTTAGTAAATGCGGTACTGCTAAAAAGGGCCTGAAGATAATGTCCACTTTCTCCAATGATTCTTTATATGTCATCAAGTACTGATTATATTGATACCAAAACCGATCCAATATGTAACTACTACGGTGAATTTTGAACAACAGTTTTAAATGAAACCATTTTCGTATAAAAGTACATTTTTGAAACAGACTATAGCATTTCAAAATATGAAAAATGTATAAATATTTGTGTTGAAACATCGAAAACTATTCGTTAACTACAAAATGTCATGCCTATTCTAATTTTTATAGTCTGCCATTCGAGTGAACATTTCAATGTTCGAAGGGGACCATTTCTGTACATTTTCACTGAATTTGGTAATTTCGATAACAGCACTTGGATCGAGATTGTCATGTTTAAAAATCGATTTGTATATCCAAACTCTAGACGTGTATGTGCTTTTTTCAAACAAATCAGCAGAAGTTCAGAAAATGACATATTCTCTCCACAGTAAGTCAAACGTCGAACCCACCCTTGTTTCTAAGGTAAAACGCTATACAAATATGAAACAGACTATAGCTTAAATACTAGTTAATCAATAATTCATTTGTCACCAAAAAATACGGTTTCACATCAAATATCAAGTAAAATTACTGTTTTTGACACTTTTTGAGCACTATGATAAAGAAATGTCGACGCTGTATAGAGTATAATAAACAATTAATTTCCCCATAGGCGACAATGAAAGCCCTTTTTGAGATACAGACTTTAGAAAGCTGATTTTTTTAACGAAACCTTGCTAGAATTAAAGAAAAGTTATTAGGACAGTATTTTTTGGTCCAAAAAATATAGGTTCGCGTTGCTTTTCTTAGCGTAATTTGTACTTATCTCCCATGCCTATCAATTTTGCACTTAAAAATACGTGTCTCATCCTAGCGTTTAAAAGACATCTCAGTTCCGTTAGGGCTAAGGAAAATAATTTATTTGGCCTTTGGTATAATGTAGAATGCACGAAGTCTCTAATTACAAAAAATAACGGGCGCATATATCAACCAATCAGGATTAGCTATACTCTTAATTCTGAATACCATGTTATGCTCATAAAATGGCTGCGCCCATAAAATCTAATGTTGTATTGTAACCTATAGTTGATATGATACTGAAATGAGAAACATATAGTTCTCCTAGAAAATAAATGTGAAAGCTGTAAAACATTGGTTAGTGACAATTCTGGAAAGATACATCAATTTCAAGGTTTTATGAATGGAGTGTTCTCCATTGTCCTACTGCTAAGCAAATACTAAAAAGACAGTTTGAAAAAAAAAACAAAGAATTTCAGATTGATGTCAGTAGTTGTTCTCATTTGAACTGCTTTTGTTAGTCATTACAAATAACTGTCAATTGTGTGTTTTCATTGTCCTTTGTCCATGATGGTTTATGTGTGTCCTATATTGTTTGTATTAATGCATGATGTACTTTATCAACAATGATTAAGTAATGATTAGACTTACAAAAAAAAACTTTTTCAAATTTTAATCAATCAAGGCTAAAATAAAGAAATAATAAATCCCCTACTTCGAGAAATATGTAAGATCATATCAACGAATCAATCTAATTAGATTGGCCATATGTCTAACTTATTTTCTATTTTCTTAATCAAAAGTCTTCATCAAACTTTTTGCAAAATTCAGAATATGAACTCAAACTCTGACCCTAAAAACAAACATCTAAAGTGAACTAATGACAATTGATGGTTTCCTTTTCACTATTTTAAACTTTTTAAAGAACTTTTAATGTATTTTTAAAATATAACTGTCAGAACAGACAGATCTGAACAAAAAAACAAGAATGGTTAACACCTGTAGTAAACTCGGCAGTTCCTCTTGCTGTCAGTTCTGTCATGGAAATGACGTTTGTAGGTTTCAAAAGATAAATGTATGAAATTAATTTCTATGGATTAGAGATGAAAAATGTGTTGAATTTAGAGTAAAATGAAATGAATTCTATTGTAATATTGATTTTGATTTATTATACAAAATGCTGACACAGCGTAATTCATCTTCTTAAT